TAATATTAATAGTGATAAATTAAGCATTTTTACACGGCTTTATAGTAAGACAAATGATATACATTAAAGTCATTCGAATGTTTGATGTGGCCCATTGGAATAATATTTCTTGGCTCAAGAGAAAATCTCTTCACTCGCCCCCTTTGTCAAATAGCGCGTGTTTTTAAAACTTTTATTTCCCTTTTCAAAATAGTTTTATTACATGTCTGTTTAAATGTCTTGGTATTGTTTTTTTCTTTCAAAATTCTGTAATAATATCTTATGACAAGCGTGCCATGTCGCGTGTCAATGTTTAAATGTTTTTACTACAGTGTGCATTGGCATATGTTAAGCCTCATTCGTTTACTGCAGTGTGCATCGGCATATGCTGGTATTGTTTAAATGTTTTTACTGCAGTGTACCATATTATACTCTGTACCAAAGAAGTTTCTCACGTCCCATCATCCTTGCTAACTCTCTGCTACAAGCATCACTCTAATGTTACAATATTAAGTGACCTTCATACAACTATTACATTGAGGATATTATAACTTCACCCTCCAACGAATCTATTTATTCACATATAAAGAGGTATTTGAAGATTGGAAAAGAGTCTAACTGGTTTTCATATCAACTTATACACTCAAAAAACATACGCGAAAGAGAAAAATAAAAGAAGTGTTTCTCACACTCATACACTTAGAACATTTCTTTGAATATCTTTATTAAGTGTAATATTTGATTTAAATTTGTGTATATCTTTTTTGAAGCATCTTGTAAACACAAACCTTACTTATCTTAACATTTGGTTAATTTTCTTGAGAGACTAAGTTTAGTCAGAATTCTCAAGAAGTCATTGACATTTAGTTTTTGAGTTGTAATTTCTTAAGAAACTAGGGTATAATCATAATTTCTTAAGAAGTCTTAGAATGTGTGTCTTTGAGTTTGTTATGATCAAATTGATTTTTGGATTAAATCCTTAATGTGAAGGTGAAATCACTTAGGAGGGTGAACTGAACATTGCTTCGTTAACAACGACCCGAAATAAAAATACTCGTGTTCTTATTTTTATCATTAACTTTGCTGTTTGATATATTGTGTTGCAAAAGTTTATAAATCCAGAAACACAATTCAAACCTCCAATTTCTTGTATTTCCAGCACCTTCACAACCCACAAGCCAACCATCAAGAGTATAAGGCTATTTCTTATAAGAGACATGTATGAAGGGGACCGTCGTACAGGCAAAAGCATATGTCAACTACCACAATGCAATCAATAAACACCTGAAAAAACTTTATGGTACGATACTCTCGGTATGGGGCAAAGGCACAAGCACATGGCTAATCCTAAATGTAGTCCATTTCATGTTCCTACCCATGTATGTGAGGAAAGTGAGAGATGATCGACGTGTGAAAATGGTTCAGATAAAATATTAGTAATAAGTGTAACACATGCATTGTGAAAACATTAGTAACAATAAAAATTGAAAATAAACTACCGTAAATAGTGTGCAGCTTCCAATCACCTATCTTCTATTTCAAAGACAAGTTTCACCTATTTTGGAGTACAGATAAATCCAAACGTGCCCCCCAATTGTACTTGCAAAACCGCTATAAATCAGTGATGTGTGTCAAGTAGACTACATCGACGTGGGTTGCATTTTTGTACATAAATATTATCGTGCCATCCAATTATAGAAAGTATGACATCAATGCACATTGTCTGTGGAACAAAACTTGCTCGCCATTATCTTCAGCCTTCCCTTGTGCAACCATGTGGTATTGGCATAGTTTCGCCAAGCATGATAATCGGGCACAAGCGTCTCTCGTGGCATCAAGCTTCTCTTGGGCCTCACCTGGGTCATCTTCGAGATAAGTCACCTTCATTTCAAGTGTCTCGCCTCTGTTGACCTGGAAATGATTTAGTAATTTCCCTTAATCGGAAGATGCAAAAGGCATGAGACACTATCAAGGGTGATGGACATCTCACCATGAAGGATGTGGAATGGTGATGTCTCATTGTGTTATTTCTCCATAAAAACCGCTAACATGTCATGGTCAATGGTCTTGTATCTAATGGTGCACAAACCTGCAAACCTAGAGTAATAAACTACATACTGAAACCATGTGTCTGCATTTTGTTCTAGGTTTAAAATTTTCCCGACATGGTTTACAAATTTTATCATTTCACACTTCTGTAAGAATAAATATATCAACATCAATTGCAACTCAATTAATATGAAACAAATGTAACACAAGAGCAAATAAATATACTTCTTATTCCTACACGAGGAGTGCTAACAACACTCTCTTTTCAACACTCTCTCAAACACTCACTTTTTTATTGGTTGAAATATGTGTGTGTCCCTCACTTTGTAAATAGGTCCCACATAAAGTGGTAGAACCTACACATATTTCAACCAATGAAAAAGTGAGTATAAGAGAGAGTGTTATTAGCATTTCTCATTCCTACACATGCCTAACAACATGTTCTGCATAAAGAGGAAGTAAGGAGCTGTCATTGGGGCCTATTGGAAAATTATTAGAAACAGGAGACAAGCGCCGCTGTGAAGTCTGAAACCCGCGACCATGTGACGTCGACACCTCCGCATCAAACGAACTAACACTAACTTTTGGGCTCGAGCTCATCGTCCTCTCCCTATGAACAAACACATGTTAGGATACACGATCGTGCCTCAATATCTCTTGGGTTTCAACACTTGTTCATATAATAGAAAAATAGAAAAAAAATATCAAAATCAAGACAAGTATAATTCAAAGATGCATCTCTGTAAAACAGAAAAGCAAAATCCATAAATATCCAGAGATGCATCTCCATAAAATAGGAAAAACAAAAAAATCCATTAGAAAATTTCGGAGATGCATCTTCGTAAAAACATGCAATAGCAGAAATTCTAGAAAATTTAGACAATATCCTAAACACCAACAAATTTGTATGCATGTCTAAACAAAATACCTATTTTGATGCAACTACAAACTAATATATGCATCACAACTAAAAAATAGAAAGAAAATTAGAAACTTATCGATCAAAGGTTATTGTGTAAAAGCTTGAATAAAGTGAATGAAATTTATTAGGATTGTGAAAATGTAATAAACGAAGAAGAAAATGGAAAGATTCTGGTGCGAGGTGTAAATTAAAATTTATTCGGAGATGCACATTTGTAAAATTCATTAAGCATAAAACTAAATGTTTTGAGTGTAAAATTCACCGAGCATAAAATTCAATGTTTTAAATTAAGTGTGATTATAAAAATACACCTTCAAACATATTTTTAGACAAAATAGAAATAACCCACTCACTCAAACATTAAAGATGTGTTATTTGAATATATCTAAAAATATATTTTGACAATCTAAAATTTTTATCATCGTAAAAAACTATTATTTTATGAGATGGATAAAGTAATTTCCTTCAAAAATATCCTAACTCTTTTTTTACAACTTCATTTCATTTCTTTAAATCTGGTTAATCAAAATATAGCTCAAAAAATTAAAATGTTGTTTTTAAAACATTAAACCATAAATAAATAAAATTTAATTGAAATTTATTTAGAGTTGATCATAAATGTTCGATTTTGAAAGAAGTTGGATTTTCTTTTAAGAAATGTGATTTTTATTTTAACCATTTATAAACTATCGTAAACTAATGATAGTTATAAATTCACATTCAGTGTAAAACTTTTAAGACTATCAAATTGCCATTTATATAAAACTTTTTAATGTGCGTATTAATTAATAAGAAAATGCTGTGAAAGTAAAACTAATACTAGAACGGCCGTGGAGATAACCAGTTATACGCGAAATAAAAAGGAACGCGAATAAAAAAATCGAAGAGGAGTTAAGGATTATCAGAGGTGGAGGAATAGACCAGAGATCGTAGACGGAGCGATAAATCGCAGATCTATCCATCGGAGTAGAACATAGCAAAGCGCGTGCTTCTCTCCGTCACGCGCCGCTTCGATTCCGGTGAACTCTTCTTTCCTCTTAATCTATCTTCGTTTCTTCGTTCCATTCGCCATTAATATTTGAGTTATTGTATTCATTTTGCTTATTTCATCGAAACATTATCGTCCATCTCTCAAATCCCTGATTTACTTCATCCATTCAACATTTAGTTTCGCAAATTAACGATTCATACTCAAACCTATGGTATTTTCAGTTTTCGCATATTCGATTTTTAGCTCTTAAATGGCACTGATATACGTGATATTACCTTGTGACTGTTTCTCTTATGATTTGTAGCCATTCATCCATTTAATCACTACCTAGGTTTTTTCAATGAGGTTAACCTAGATTGGTTTATTTGAGTTTATTTACTAACATAAGGACTTTTTTATACAAATGACTTATATACATAAGTGCTTAATTAGGTTGTTTATACAAATAGTGCTCCAGTGGAAGCATGCTAGGTCTGCAAACAAAGAGTTGTGCGTCGAGATGCTCGGTAGTAGGAAGTCTCTGGTGAAAAATAAATCCTTTGACGAGATGTTCTAGCTCTACAGTTGTTGGTCTGTAAGAATTGTGTTTAAGAGGGGGATATGTATGGATTTCATCAAATGGTTATATAAGCAATATGTATGGTGTGTGAATGTTTGCTTTCGTTGTGGAACACCATAGACAAAACTTGGATAGGGATGTGATAATCATGGTGTTATGTTTTATCCTTTTAGAGAGGGTGTTTGCTGATTTAAATTTTTCGCGTGCATTTGCATGCCTATCTAGTAGTGTCAATCAGTGTTGGTAAATAGCAGCTATATCACACGTCGTAGCTGCATGCTATTTAGTACCAAATCTTGTCAAATAGCAGTTATAGCATCACTGATGTGTAGCGGAATTTGATTAAACCGCTATTTTTTGAAATATGAAATTAACAACCTTGCTTCTTTTGCAATACTGTTTTTAGTTTTTACATGTTTAAAGAAATGACGTGTATTGTTTGTTTTTTCAGAGCTCTCTGCTGGTTCTCGTTGCTTTTCATTTCATGAGATTGAGATTCCATGGCAAGCATTCCTGGAAAATTTGCTCCTTCTAATGGGTCTATCTATGTATGCAACCTGCCTCATGGGACTGACGATAATATGTTGGCTGAATATTTTGGTACCATTGGAGTAATAAAGGTATTGAGCCTTCAGCCATCATTCAAAATGATGCTATGTTATTGTCCAACTTTCATTTATTTAGGAAACAAAATTTAACAGGATTTTGGTAACGTTTGGGACTTCATCACGGTCAGTTTGAAAAGTCATATTTTTATGTAAGACATGATTACTTGAATGATTTTTTCATTCTTGCAAAGTGAGGTTTATTTGGGAGTCCTGAATGATTGATTTATTTTTTGTTGCATTTCTTTTTCCTCTTTACGTGGTTCTGTTTTTCGGCGTCACCTTCAATTTCCAAATTACCAGTCATTTTTCATTTGCAATTCATGTTTTGCAGAAAGATAAACGTACAGGAAGACCTAAAATATGGTTATATCGAGACAAAGAGACTAATGAACCAAAGGGAGATGCTACTGTGACATATGAGGATCCGCATGCTGCCGTGGCTGCTGTTGAATGGTTTAACAACAAAGATTTTCATGGCAATGCTATTGGAGTTTATATAGCTGAGTCAAAAAACAAGGATGACCAAACTTATAATTCAATAGCAGATCCGGTTGTTGCTGGTGATATTGTTGGACCAGAAGAAACTGAAAGTGATGTTAATGGTGTTAATGGAGGAGGTGTAGGTCAAATTGATGCTTCCAGCAAACCATGGCAACAAGAGGGCGATTGGATGTGTCCGAATACAAGGTCTGTGATATGAGATTGGTGAGCAGCTCTTTCTTGCTCTTTTATGCACCGTTTCAGTCGTAGTAGTTATTGTGTGCAGAAAGAACATCACATTTTTCTTGTCATTGCAGTTGCTCCAATGTGAATTTTGCTTTTCGTGGTGCGTGTAATCGCTGTGGAAGTGCACGCCCTGCTGGTGCTTCTGGCGTTGCGGGAGGAGGTGGCCGTGGCAGGGGACGTTCTGGGCAAGATTCAGGGGGTATTGGCCGTCCAGCTGGTGCAACTGCAGGACTATTTGGTCCTAATGACTGGTCTTGTCCAATGTACGATTTTGTCATATTGTCTCCAAATTTTTTTGTGTGGTTTATTTATACTTGGTTTCATTTTAAAATATATATTTTTTAATTCAAATTTCAATATTTTACTGATATCAGCTGACATGTATAAATTTCTTATAATTTGATAAACACGTTGCCCTGTCTCATCAATTGGGTTGCTGTAGTGTTATATTATGTTGGTCGAAGTGCTGGCGAACAGTTAAACCATGTGTAAATTGAATATGATGGTGAGATTTATGTTTGTACATGTGTAACTCACAAACACAACATGCTCTTATGAATGCAATGAAAATGGCTTAAACAGGAGTTAATGCTACCTGTTTTCTTTAATTTATATCTCCTAATTTTGCACTTTGCATGATTTGCTGCATAAGGTTTGTTAATTTTGTAAGGAAATTTTATATATTAGCCAAATTGCATTCCCTTTTGCCTTTAGTATTAATTTTGGCACATCCCAACCCAATCTATCATTTATTCTTCTGCTATTCTGTTTCTCTATGAATTTTAAAGGAAGCAATCACCATGTGAGACGTGATTGAGTGCAAATGTAGTGGCCTTCCCAAACTTAAAGCCACATAAGGTCTACTGAATCTGTTACATTTTACAGAGAATAAGTGTTTTTAAGATGTTAATAATATGATGATAGTTTCTTTGATGATAGTTTAGGACTTTAACACGGGGTAAGATGACCTTGAGGTGAGCCTGATAGCTTCTTTGACGTTGTCGTTAACCTCTCCCCAGATTTTGGTCCTTGGGCTCAGCTATTGAACCTCTATTTCCTCTGTCTCTTCTCTCCTTGTAGGTTGTGGCAGTTGATTTTGCATTTTGATTGCAAGTTGTCTATATGATTTGGGCTCATGGTCAGTTATATCATCATTAGTTTTATTCATTTTGAATGAGTCTTGCTCTACTTAACTGAATGTTAGGCTGAGTCTGTTTATACTTCTACCTGACATTAAACTTGGAATTAACATGCATGATGTGGTTTGCTCAGGATTTTTTATTTTTTAATTGAAAATCTTAATGTACTTATTTGTCTGTCTTTTTTTTGTGCACAGGTGTGGCAATATCAATTGGGCAAAGCGATTAAAATGCAATATTTGCAATACAAATAAGCCTGGCCACAACGAGGGTGGTGTAAGGTATTATATTTAATTCTTTGTATTACTTTAAGTATGTACTATTAGTGACACATCTGAATGGCAGGTCTATGAAAACACATACAATTTCTTTACATTTCAAAAAATAAATGATAACCAAGTTAAAAGCTGTAATTCGTAAAGCAAATTTTAGAACATAAAACCCTTAAGTATACAATTTATTTTTTGAAATACAAGAGAAAGTCAGTATTGTTAGTTGTGTTTGTATCCTAGATATACACGTGGATGTTCTTGGATAAAATAGGACCAAATGACTATTTTGAAACTGCTGGTTCTCTCTTATCTGTTCAATTATAATTGAAATATAACATGTGATTCTAAGAAAAACAATATTTGATGCCAAGTGGGGAGTCCTGTTTAAGGTAGTAAGGATACACTTTTATGTCTTATTGTTGTGTGTGTTAAATTCATATGTAATCATCATACAATAACAACTAAGTTTTATCCCACTAAGTGGACTACATGGATCAAACGATGCCATAATGTTCTATCAAATACCATACTTCTATCAAATTCATTAATCTAAAGATCTATCTCAATAGTTTCATTTATAGTTTCACATTTTCTTCTTCTACCTCTAGCGGTTTGACTTACCCTCCATTTGGTCTAATCTCCTTTCAACACAATCCACAATTGTTATCTCTACATGCCCAAACCACCTTATCTAGTTTCCACCATCTCTTTTCTGTTGTATTGTAGGTCTTACCTCAGCTCTTTCTCTAATGTTAAAATTTCTAATTCTATCACGTCTAGTCTTACCCACACATCCAATGCAAGATCCTCATATCATCCACATATAATTTTTGTATGTTGGTTCTTCACAATAAATCATCATATTCATTTAATATTTGAACTAGACATGGTTTTGGTTTTTCAATATGCCGCCGTGCATGTGGTTTTGCAGCATTTTACTTTTTGACCTTTTAAGGATTACAAATATTACATTTTGTTGATGTCAAATGGAGCATCTGTTTATTTTGTTTTCCTATTTGTTAAAAATCTCAATAATTTGATATTTGTGGGTAAAACTGAATAACCATTAGCAACCTTACACGATTGGACGGCTATGGTTGTAGTCAGGTTGTATATTATCTATTCCCATCGGCAATAGTTAGTAGTGCTTTATGGCATTGTGCTTATCTCATCGTTGTAGAGCACCACAGCACTGTTATGTTTTTCAAATATAAATGTAACTTAAAATTTGTTCCCCGAACTAGTAAAATAGATGGTTTGAGTATCATTTCACAGTATAAAGCATATGTTGCAATCAAATGTCAGCCAATCCTATTTGTGGCAAATTTCCATTTCATTTGTTTCACAGCATGTAGGTGTGGTTTTTCCCCCTTAAACCCCTTTTTTCAAATTGTATTGTATTTTGTTTAGGGGAGAAATTGTGAACTAGTTCTTCCCCAGAGGGACTAAGAGTTTCAAATTAGGAACTCAACATTGGATAGGGGGGAAAACCACACCTACATGCTGTTGGGTTGGCTACATTGATCAAACAGCACTATAATGTTCTGCCACAAATTAAGTCCAATGATAAACCTTGAGTCTTAATATCTCATAATGATTTAACCTATCTTTTCCTTAGTCTTTGTTGAAGTCATGCAGTTTGGGTAAAAGAAGAAGATAAGTAGTGAAAACTTAATATTATTATAATGAGGATGAAGTATTATGAATAATAAACTCTGGGTAATGCTAACTTGTGCCCTAGGAGCACAAGTTTATAACTAAATGAAGAAATATTGTCTTGGAAATTGTACATTGATTTTAATAAAAGTATATAATTAATTTTTAAATTGTTTTTTTCAATACAAACATTCTATAAGTGGGTTTCTTAACTTGTGCCCCTAGTGCACAAGATAGATTACGCATAACTTTCTTTTACCCCAAAGGACTAAACACCAACCTGTATATATATGGGGATACATCACTCATGATCCAGTTTAACCTTACTTTTCTAACTCAGCTGACCCACTTAGTGGGATAAGACTTGGTTGTTGTTGTTTTCTAACTCAGGTTACTTTCTAATCAAACAGAGGAGGGCGAGCTGGAGGTTACAAAGAGCTTGATGAAGAGGAAATTGAAGAAACTAAACGTCGCAGGCGGCAGGCTGAAGTAAGATTGATTTTAAGACCATACATGCTATAAATATAAATACTCCCTATGTCCCAAATTATAAGCAAAAATAATCACACTTATTAAGAAAACCTAAACACTTCACCAAAAAAAAACAAGAAAACCAAAACATAATAATTTGGTGTATGACTTTTTGTTTTTTCTTTGGAATAAGTTTCATGGGAAGATGTAAAAATAATTTTCATTGCATTTAATTTCAGATTGAAAAGGATACATTTTTGGAACAAATTTTTTTGCTTTTAATTTGGGACAAAAATGATTTTTATTTTTGCTTATAAAATGGAACAGAAGAGGTATACATTTAAGTGACTCTGGTTTATGATTTTTTTCTAATGCCAGGATGACGGTGAGCTGTATGATGAATTTGGAAACCTTAAGAAGAAATTCCGTGCCAAAACACAGCATTCTGAAGCTGCACGAGTGCTTCCTGGTTCAGGGCGTGCTGGTTGGGAGGTTGAGGATCTAGGTAATGTTGCATATCTGGAATTATTTGTCACCCTTAAATTAGTTACAGAGCAAGCTGAAGCTGCAACTTTGGGGCTTGTCAAGCTAAATGATTCCACCCTCCTTCCCCTTCTCCATCACACTTTTCAGTTTTCCCACATGTTCCCAAATACTTCTGCATAATATTTTTGAGTAATCATAATGGCCCTAGAGGAATTAACATTGTCAAACACTCGCATGTTATCCTATCTTTTGTTATTTTTATTAGTCATTCCTTTTTTTCCATTCTTTTGCAACTGGTTGGTTGCATCTTTTTACATTCAAACCTGCATACTATTTCGAAACCAATTATTAGTTGTCTTAATGTATTTATATATGTACTGATTGATTGCCCGGTTCGAGCCCATGCATAAAACTAAATTCAATTGGCTGTTGGTTTTGGAGCATTCTAAAAATAAGATATGGTGTAGCCATATACTCTTTTCTTAAGGATATGTAGAGATCGTAGGTTCAAGTTATGCCTACAGAATAGTACAGATATCCAATTTGCAAAAAATGTTGCAAGTTATCGTGTCACTCTGATATGTGATCATCAACATGTTTGTATGAAATCCTGAATTCGTTGGACCTGCTAACCAACTTACTCTCTATAACACCTATGGCAGGGATTCACAGAGATGCTACAGAAAAAAGCAGAGACAGGGGAAGGGATCGTGATGATGGAGAGCAAAGAAGCAGAGAGCCAATCGAGAAGGAGAGACAAAGCAGTCGGAATAGAGAGAGGGACAGAGGAAGAGATCGAGACAGGGATTATGGGCGAGATCGGGACCGGAGTAGACACCGATATTAAAAATAGCAGTAGAAGTGCATCCTGATGTTTTGACTCCAATTATGTGTTGCCTTTTTTACTAGAGATTTCATTTGCTTTGAATTAAATCCTTAAATTTGGGGATTGATATCCTGCAATCTGATCAATGCATGGACCTAATGTATAACCAAAGATCTTTATGCTGTTAGTATTTCCTTGGACAAATTTCTATTTCAGAATATTCACGATAGTTTGAACTATTAGCATCTTGTCTGCTTCATGTGTGTAATCTTTTTACCTCCTATTAATCTGAATTGGATTGTAATGGATGAATTAAAATACTTTTTAATTTTTTTATCCATTAAACCTAAAAACTAGGGATTGAATCCTCTTCACCATTCTCTCCTTCTCTCTCCTAACTTTATATCTCCCTTAATTTTCTCATCTCTTTGTTTAAAAGAGAATGAATTAAAAGAGAGAAAGGGAGATAATGGTGAAACAGATCATCCAAAATTTAAACTATTCCGTTCGCCCCAAAATAAATGTCATATTTGACACGAATGTTGAAAAAACCGGATAAAATCGGTTGGTTCAACCGGTTGGACTAGCAATTGGAGTTGAATCTGGTCAGGATAACATTTTAAAATTGCTGGTGGGTTAAAATTGGAGTAAACTCAGAAAAACCAGGTTGAATTGGAGTCGATTTTGTAAAGCTGTCCGATTTAAAAAATCATCAAATTAATGTTTTTAATTTTTTTTTTAAAGTTTTAATATGTCAATTATAAAAACTTAAAACAATTATAAATGAGACTAACTAATATACATGGTCAGTGTAAAAGATTTTACAATGTCAATTCACCACCTTTATCCGTTGGTATTACTTTATTAATAATTAAAATAAAAGTTAAACTTTTTCTAACATTCATCGATTATAATTAATTGACAGTATAAAATCATTTTATTATCAATTGCAAAAAAAAAATTGTTTGTCAAATTTAATCATTGTTTTTTAATTAAGTATGTTAGACTGTTTATTTTTATAATTCTATCTTATTTAATTTAGTTATTTTTAATTATTTGAATTTTATTTTAGTTAGTCTTAGTTTATCTTTTGATCCCTTAGCTTAATTTATTGTTTCCTTTTGCTCTCTTAGTTTTAAAATGTTATATTATAGTCTCTTAAAACGGTTCTGTTAGTCAAATTGATCTTATTTTTATTTTTATTTTTTATTTTTTATTTTTTATTTTGCTTTTTATATTATAAATATTCAATATTCATATGATTTATTGGAACGCTAGATGACACATCCTCTTTCTATATTCCCACAAATACTGCCCTCAAACATGCGTACAAATCTCCACTATTTTCATCTTCACAACACAACAACGCTAAAATTAAATCACCTTCTTATAACAATGGGTAACCATTGATATCTCTGCATCCTTCATTTAAAATTAAATTCTTTGTTGTTTCTTCTTTTGTTTATTTTGATTGTGATTCTTGTACTATGCTCATTGTTTTTTGATTTGAATCTGAAAAAAATTGATATGCATGCCGTTTGAGGTTTAGATCTACAATCTCCTTTTTTTTTTTTTGTATTCCCACCAATTTTTTGCGGCAACGATGAAGTAACATCAAATTTGAAGTTTGTCTTTCTCTCTCTCTATATGAACTTGAAAAATGTTTGGATTTAATTAAAGTAAGTCTTTTTTGTTTCAAATTGATGTTTTAGAATAGTGATATTACTTTTAATTTTAATGATTGAAGTTGATTTCTTGTTATGGCAGATGATGTCCTAAAGGTAACCACTGTTAAAAAAAACCTCAGATGGTTCTTCTTTCTCACCAAGGGTTAATAATGGCGGTGATTGTGAATTTGTTGATGAACAACAATTGAATGAGTATTTTCCTTTTCTCAATGAGTCATCTAATGGTGACGATTTGGTTGATCCGCGTTTTGAAATGAATGTTGGCCCTCAGAATTGGGTGACTGGTAACAATGGTGACACTGAGAATATCCATAGGAGGAGTTTTTCTGCAAGTGATATTGGTTTTGGTACCAAAGAGACTGAAGTAGGATTTGGTTTTAAGCCATGTCTTTACTTTGCTAGAGGATTTTGAAAAATGGTTCTAATTGTAAGTTTGTTCATGCTGATTCAATTAATGTTAATTCGGGTACGATTGTTGGTTCACCCTCGAAGTTCGAGGGATTGGAGCCTTATAATAGATAACATACAAAAATCCAGTTCTTTCTTCTTTTCTTGTGTGATATTGTTATAACCTAAAATTTGCCCTACATTTTTTCATTTCATCTGGCCCATGACTCATTTCATCTACATATTCACACATCCTAATCATCCATCACGAGACATTCATCTACAATTGCATTTTTTTGAAGTAAGCATCATTGATTCAAATGGTTTTGCTATTTATAATACAAAGCTAGTGGATCAAGCTTATATTATGTATGGAATATTTTGGCATAACAATAGTGGTTGATTCATTCTTTATGGATCAAGTCTTGTGGAACCCTAATTCTTGGTTTGTGATCTTTTGGCTATTTGGACTATATCATGGCATTGAGATTGGGAGACTATTCTCAGGTTTTTGGTTAAACAAAAGTCAATCTCAAAGTTGACCATTTCCTTATGAGGTTACTTAACAACTATTATGGGTTTTGATTCTACGTGATGTAAAACATGATACTTCATTTCAAGGTTCATTCAAAGTCATATTCAAGACAAGTTCAAATGTTCAAATACTCAATTTTTGAGGAAAAATCATGTTGCTTGAAAATACAAGTTGCATTACGCCATTCAAAAGCCATTTATCATTTCAAAAACATCCAAGTTCATTACACAAGGTCAAGAATCAAGTCCGTACAAAAATTACGCATTTTGGACCTAAAGTTGACTTTTGATTAACTGTTGACCTTTTGGTCGAACAATCAACTACTTATCCCTAATCCTATCCTACTTCCTCTTCATTCAAAAGCCATCCAAATTTTATTCAAGATCCTTCATAATCCTTGATGTGTCCAAGGCCTTCCCCAAGTTCTTCAGGTTGTCCAAAGTTTCTCCATGATTCATACCTTAATTCATGCCTTAAGCCATGATATGTGTGCCTTGCTATTTTGATCAAATAAACCATCCATGCAATTCATACACATACACAATTAGACCTCATTCATGCACAACAACATATACAAAACATATTACACCAATAGTTCAAACTAGTTTAGCATCCAATATCTTCATCTATCAATTTGAGGGATAACATACCAATTAATTGATTGGATGCACTAAGCTAGAATTAATTGATTGGATGCACTAAGCTAGAGGCCAACAATCATAATTTCAAGTTTGCATTAGCAATTCAAAAAGAGATACATTTAATAAGTTGATCTCACTGCTCCATAGTAGTTCGTACTGACTTGCTAATTGTCACAATAACACGAACACCATTTTATCCATTTTAACTTGACTATCAATTAATCTACACCAACTTAGGATTTTCTTTTTCTTTTGTCATTTAATTTTAAATTATTTTTAATGCTTTTGGATTCCATTTTTTTCTTCATAATTTCATAAAAATATTTTCTACCACATATATTTTCTTCATAATTTTTAAAAAGTCATTTTGCATTTAATTCATATTTTCTTCTATTTTTTATTTAATTTTTATTTTTAATTTTATTTTTGATTATTTTCAAACATTTTTGCATCCAACTTTTGAGATCCTTTTATTTGTAGTATTTTGGACTTCTCATAATTTTCTCCATAATTTATTTTATCTTTTGATGCTTCTTTTGAATTTTTCTTTTTTATTTCCATTTTAATCATTTTAAAAATCATTTTATATGATTTTCTTTTTATTTTTATTCATATTTTTGAATATTTGTGATTTTCCTTTTGATGATTGCTTGGTTTATCATATGTTCAACATTTCAAATCCTTGAGTGATGACCCATTGGTTGATTTAACCTTTTCTGATACAAACTTATTTATAAATGATCATCTGATCATTTATAGTACTTTGCATCAGAGATAGGTTATCCCTAGTTAGATCATACTTTGAGCCTTTGACTTGTTGATAAATAAACCCATACATGAGTGTATCAATCTCTCTCTTTCTCCATCTATCTTCTTCTTTTGTTTTCTCATTGTGTTACATGTTATAGGAGAATAAATTTGTGTTATTTCTCTAACATGTTTGACACATAAATTGTTATTAACCAGCCTCAGATAAGTGTGACTTCTACATAAGTCCACTTACAATTGATTAACATAGCGCTAAATTGTCTCGACTCAGTTAAATTCTCATTAACACTAACGTTAACATATTAATTGTGCTAACATCTAACTTTTACTTTTATGCTCTTTACATTTTATGTCATTTACTTTTATGTCTCTACTTTTATATCATTTTTATTTATATCCTTTCCCTTTATTTTGGCTTTTTACCTTTTGCCTTGTATTGCTTTTCTTATTTCAAAAGCACAAAAATATGATAAAATGGCTAAAACCCCGAAAAAATTAATTTGATATCTTGGGTTTTGTGTTACTATACCTTGCTTGAAGGGTACTTTGGACTTTGGACTTTAGGACCTAGTGTTTCCCTTTGCTTGGAGTGGTATTTGAGACATTGTGATCTGTAACAGCCCAATTTTCAATAATTAATTAATTGTGTTAATTAATTGATTTATTTGGATTATTCTAATTATTTGAATAATTAGATGTTTGTTTAATGGATTGATAGATGTTTTGAGAGAGTAAATATATTGGGAAGAAATAAAGAGAAAGGTATTATGGAGGAAATAGAATGGAAATAAATATAAAGAATAGAAATAGAAGAAAAGGAGATAAGAGTTGGTAAGAAAAAAGAAAAGGGAAGAAAAAGAGAAAGAAGGAAAAGGAGGAGAAAAGAGAAGAAGAAGAAGAAAAGTGTGGAAATCATCAAGGGCAACTCAAAGCTTCGATTAAACCAAGGTAAGGGTGAGAAATGTTTCTATTTGATCATTGCATGATGTTATGTATGTTGGG